CTTTGCACCATGGAATCAAGTGACGATGAGGTCATCAGTGTGGCTGTATATTGGGGTGACTGGTGAGGAGAGGGGAGGAGACAAACATGAGAAGAGGCATGGAGGGGCAGCAGCAGAAACGGAACTTAGAGCCAAGGAACCCCTGGCCGCAGAAGCTGCAGGAGCCGGGAAGGATCCTCTTCTAGAGGCTTCAGAAGGAGCATGGCCCTTCCGACACTCCCGACTCCTAGCCTTCAGAAGGAGAATGTGACAGAATACTTTTTTATTTGAGTCGCCTGGTTTGTGATACTTTGTTACTTTAGCCTCGGCAAAGGGAGACACCTTCTGTGATCCACAATTGTATGTGTGGCTGAACCATGAGACACAGCTGTTAGGTCTAAGTCTTGTTGTAAAAGTATCTTTAAACATGATTAGCACGTAAATCAGTCGTCTATGAGGACCGCAGAGAGCCCTCTGTACTGTGGGTGGGCCTCGCCCAATCAGCTGAAGTCCTGAAGGGAAAAAAAAAAAAAGATTGAGGTTCCCCGAGGAAGAAAGAATTCTGCCTCCAAACTGCCTTGTGCTGCATGGGATTCCCCAAAGGGAATTCTGAACTATAGCATCAGATTTTCCCTCCATCTCAGCCTGCTGGCCTGCCCTGCACATTTCAGTCTGCCATCCACAAGCACGGGAACCAGTGATCCCTCCTACTGGCCAGATGTCACCCTTTGTGGGCTCTGGCATCAAAGACTGGGACTGTTGTGAGGTACCCAGCAGGGCTCTCCTCTCCTCTCCCCTCCCCTCCGCTCCTCTCCTCTCCACATTCTCTCCCCTGGTTCTGTTTTTCTGCAGAACCCTAGTCAATACATTCCTCATTCGGAAACCGTCCCCATTTCCTGTAAGTGGGGCCCGGTGGTTCCCTCGGGGGTTTCTCCCCACAGCTGGAGCGGGGACAAGCACACCCACCTGCTGCCTTTCTTTCTGCTGCCAGCATCTTGCACCTGGGGTGGGCGCCCCACACACAGCTCCTCACTGCTGTGTGAGTCGCAGGAGCCTTCTAGTTGGGAATCAGTAGTGGCAGAGCAGATGCCAACACCCTCCCCGGCTCAGGCACCAGCATTCTGCCCCGGCCCTGCGACTGCCAGGGGATCTGGGTCGGGGCCAGGCTTGGACCCAGGATCATGCACATGTAGGGAGCCAAGCTGCAGTTGGGGCCTCGCCTCCAAGGTCTCCCCTGGCCTGGAGCCAGCCTTGAGCCAAGGAGAGCAGCAGAAACGCCTGGAAGTTCCCTGGCCTGTGGGTCGATATGAGTGGACGTATAATGCACAGTGCAGATGGATGTGGGGCAGCCTGCCACGCAGGCTCAGCCACCAGATTCAGGACATGGAAAGTGGCCAGGGAAACAGCTTAACCAGGAAACTCCAAGAGATTCAGAAATCATGAGCCAAACTCCGAACAGGCGGGCACCTGGGACTGGCACCCACCCCACACCTCTCCTGGCCCCTGAAGTTGTCTCTCCTGCCTGTCCCTCTCAAAGATTGACAGCTTCAGGGCAGCTTCACCCGGACCACGGTGCTCAGAGTGGCAGGACCCTTTCACCACTGCCGATCAGGGCATGAGTTGGGATTTGAGCAAGTAGAGAGCAACTGTCCCTATTCTCAAATGGGACTCACCTGGCACAGAGGGAGGTTGAATGTGCATGAGGCACTTCCAGCCCGTGGTTCCCCGACACCCCAGTTGGTGTGGTGTGTCTACGAAATCTGACCAAAAGGCTGGACCCTGCTGCCACCCACAGTGACCCCCCACATCGGGGATTGAGGCTTCTTTGTGGTACCTAGCAGGTCTTTCAATGTCTCTGGAGAGGAGCAGGCAAGGGACCCCTCTCTCCACCAGCCCACGTGCAGGCGAAGCCCCTCCCAGCTCTGCCCCAGGCCCAGGCTGCCCGTCACCACCAGCCCCACCTCGCTTTAGCAGGTAACCAGGAAGCTTCGGCCTGGAGAAAAAAACCCTCAGCCGATGAAGAGTTCACAGCGTGGAGCGCACAGTTGGCAGTGCCCATAACTCACGCTTCGTTTATTCTCACCGATGCTCACTCTTACCTATCGCCTGTGTTTCAGCCACACTGCAAATGTCATCTGTCCGGAAAGAGAAAGTGGTTGTTGGTTTCTTGGTGTGCAGAGAGATGGAGCTCCCTTACAGATATTTAACCTTATGTGGACAGGTAACCCAGAACCTGAGAGTGGAGTAGGTCCGAGGTGGACCTTGGAGTTCTCCTGTCTCTCAGGTGGGGTTGGAAACAGGAGAGGTGCAACACAGCACTGGTGGCCTTGGGCAGAAGAGGAGGCTGAGCTTGTGTTGGTGCTCACAAGCTCACTGTTTTGGGGGGGTGGGGATGATTAAAATCTAGATTGTGTTCATTTAGGGGCTTGGGAGGGACTGGTGCTGATTGACTGGAGAAGGAAGTGCTACCTCTTGTCTACCTAAGTTTCCCATAGCGCTGGCATCAATCCTCGGGGAGGCTTCAGAGCAGCAGGGCACCAACCACCCTTCCCAGGCTTTCCACAGAGCTGTCCAGGGTTCTGAAATGCAGCAGAACAGGCACAGACCCCAGACTCAAGGCACCAGGGTCTCTAAGTTTGGCCTGCCCAGAACGGGAGGTGGGCATACAGCTTAGGGCACACTCACAGGCGCCACCTAAGATCGGCTCTGGCTTTGCAGGCTGATGTGACCAACGGGTCAGGACACTCACCTAGCCCTGGGCTCTGTCTAGCAGGAACTTTCCCCCCTCAGCACATGCCAAGGACCCTAGCCAGCCTCAGAGTGGGCCAACCTTAGAGTCCGGCGGTCCAGGAGATGCCCTTCCGACCAGTTTACACAGACAGGACCCACAGCCATGGGGGCTGCGACCTGGATAAAGACATCCCCATCCGGCTTCACTGACTGGCAGGCTGTCTCTGGAAGTGGCTCCTCAGGCCCACTCTTGGCCAAATCTAGCGTGACTCATTTGCTCCAGAAAAGGAATATAAATAAGCGCCATCACACCTTGACAGGTTGACAGCGGTGACAAGCAGAGTAAATTCCCATATCTGAGACTCCGAGGAGGAGCGGTGATTTAACAGACCCAGCTGCCGTCACCAGAAGAAAATAATTAAGGAAACCCAGTGGTGTAGAGGAAAAGCGAGCGGCTGCAGCGGGTCCCTTCTGGTGAAGAGATCTGTCATCGTTGGCTGCAGGAGAGAACCCCCACACACTGGGGGAGAAACAAGCTCCGGACGCTCAAGCTGGGGACAGCTGCAGAATGGATGAGGAAGAGGGGGGCGGCGGGTGGGGAGGGAAATAGGCTCTGCGGCTGGCGGGGCCACACAGGAGCGTTAAATCTAAAAGGCTATCAGGCCAGGCACCACCACTCACACCAGTTCCAGACTCACATGCACACACACACACATACAGGGAATGGCCAAGAAGATGGCAAACACTGACTGCCCTTTGCCCTGGGAAAGGCATTCCCCTGTTCTCCACCTAAAGGGGATCAGTAGAAGACAGAGAAGATGCTCAAGTTCTGCCTTTGTACCCACCTCTCTTGGGACTAGGTGAAGGTTCTAGAAAGCTCAGAGAATTTTAGGTTTTTCCACCCATAGTGGCTTTTGTGGTCCCCCCCCCTCATATAGACACTTGTTTGCTAATACGTGAAGGTGTGTGGGCACAGCCTCAAACTGATGAGGTCAAGGTTATAATACTGGACCCTGTGGGGAAATCTCCAGATCAGGGAAGACCTAAATGCCCCCCTTGTCAGCTGGGCTCCCGCCATTGGACTTCTGCCCAGTATACAGAGACAGTTGGGGAAGTGCTGGACCATCAGAACCACCTTCTCCTTGCCTAGGCAGCAGCCAGGACTTGGTCAGGTGTGGCCAGGCACAGAGCTTTCCAGAAGTTCCACCTCTCTGCTTGCTTAAGGGATGGCAACTTCTGATTATGACTGTGCCTTCTGGCAAAGCCTCAGGGCACAAGTGTCCACCCATACGGCACAGGAGCAGGACAGAACCCCTGACACTCCAAAAGCTAGGCAGGGATTAGAAAGGTGACCCAGAGTGCTGCATGGGATCCCCCAAAGGGAATTCTATGCTTCCAATATCTTCACCCCAAACAGACCAAACATGGCATCAAGCAGAATCCTCTCTCTGGCCAGAGGTTCCCCACACTAGAGTTTGCAACCTGGACTGTTCTGGCTCAGCCCGGGTGAGAGGTCTCCCTGGTGAGCAGAGGGGACATTCTGGTGCTTGGTCAGTGTCAAGCAAACCTCTCTCCATCTTCCCCCAGTCATCAGTTAGTGCTTGCTAGGCAGTTACTCTATGCCTGGGCTTCAGGCAGGCCTTTGGAGATGAGCCAGATATGGTGTCTTCCCATCGTACACACAGCTGAGAAGATCAAAATCACAAAGTGAATGCCAAGGTCAGAGAACTTCTTGGAGCAGGAGGAGAAAGAGTGTGCTCCATCCCAAAGCCCTGTATGGGCCAGATGTGAGTGCAAATAGGTCATATTCCAATTACAGAGAATCCACATCAACTAGGACCAGGACATGGCTGACAGGTGTGCAGAGAGATGGACAGAACTTTGTGAACAGTCCTTTTCCTGTGACTAAATAACAGGGTGGGGTGGGGTGGGGTGGGGTGAAAGGTGGTCTGTGAGAGCCCTGAATTCCACTGGGCAGGTTTGTGGACACACCTGGGCAGCTCCCTATCCACTCCTTCTAGGTCCTATCAGGAGGTGAGATAAGTTAGCTTCAGCTGGGAGCCAATGGGACCATGTCTTTGCTGCACCCCTATTTTCTTATGGGTGAAGGATGGAGGGAGTCTAGCACTGAACCAAGCTTTTGCCTTCTGCCCCCAGAACTGCCTTTCCCCAGAGCCCACTCCCAGCTCCCTCCAGCCTGGGCATCCACGGGCAACAGACTGTAAGCCGGTCCCGGGAACCATGAGGTACTTCTGCTGCTAACACTGCCCTCTCCTCTGCTTGCTTTTTAGGAATTAAGTTCAACATCAGACCACAGCAGCCCCATAACGTAAGTTCTGAGAGTCAGATCAATCTCAGCATACACACCCTGGAGAAAGTTGGGGACAGCAGGGTAACAATTTTTAGGAGCCAATATAAAATCCATTCTTGGAAAGAAAAATGTGTCTAGTTCTTCCCAGGAGCCTTGGGAACAAAGCCCTGGGCCCTGGGTTCATGAATTTCCCTGTCCTGTTAGATGGCTCCTTTGGACGATGCTAATAGACCCGGTAAATCTGAGCCACCTCCTTCGGGCCATCAACTTCCACGGCCCGCTGTGGTCAGGTGGAGGTTTATGGGAGGACTGCGCCATCTAGTGGTGGATATGACACTTGCACTTCACGTACTACCCTACTATGGGCAGCTGGGTGTGGGATCAGGACTCAAGACTGGAGGGTCACACCTGCAGTATCAGCCTGTCTCCCTGTTCCTCACCTGAGAATACCTCTAACCACAAAGAGGCAGAAACAGCTGCTGCGAGGAAGGCATGGTATGCATGACCTTTGCGCTTAACTTTCCTGTCCACCTGGTAACTTTCTCTTTTTGTCTCAGGCACACCCACCGGGCAGCTCCCAGGATGGTGACTTGAAGATATCCACAGAGAAGGTCATCCGGGACTTGTCCAACCGGACCCCAAGGGACCTCAACGTGAGGGTGCCTGACCAGCCTCAACCGCACCCCAAGATGGGAGCCCGACTGCGACTCCCGCAGCGCCGCCGCCGTCTGCTTATCAAAAAAATGCCAGCCGCGGTGGCCATCCCAGCCAACAGCTCATCAGAGGCCTTTATTCGATTGGGGACCCAGGCGCTGGACAGCCATTGGGTCGGCCTGCACCGGAGCCAGCAGGAGCGCAAGCGGGTGATGCAGGAGGCGTGTGCCAAGTACCGGGCGAGCAGCAGCCGCAGAGCCGTCACACCTCGCCACGTGTCCCGCATCTTCGTGGAGGACCGCCACCGTGTGCTCTACTGCGAGGTGCCCAAGGCGGGTTGCTCCAACTGGAAGCGGGTGCTCATGGTGCTGGCCGGGTTGGCCTCATCCACCGCGGACATTCAGCACAACACGGTCCACTACGGCAGCGCCCTCAAGCGGCTGGACACCTTCGACCGCCAGGGCATCCTGCACCGCCTCAGCACCTACACCAAGATGCTCTTTGTCCGTGAGCCTTTTGAGAGGCTGGTCTCAGCTTTCCGAGACAAGTTTGAGCACCCCAACAGCTACTATCACCCTGTTTTCGGCAAGGCCATCCTGGCCCGGTACCGGGCCAACGCCTCGCGGGAGGCCCTGCGGACTGGCTCTGGTGTGCGGTTCCCCGAGTTCGTCCAGTACCTGCTGGACGTGCACCGACCCGTGGGCATGGACATCCACTGGGACCACGTCAGCCGGCTGTGCAGCCCCTGCCTCATCGACTATGACTTTGTGGGCAAGTTCGAGAGCATGGAGGACGATGCCAACTTCTTCCTGAGCCTCATCCACGCTCCACGCAACCTGACTTTTCCGCGGTTCAAAGACCGGCACTCCCAGGAGGCGCGGACGACGGCCAGGATCACGCACCAGTACTTCGCCCAGCTGTCGGCCCTGCAGCGGCAGCGCACCTACGACTTCTACTACATGGACTACCTGATGTTCAACTACTCCAAGCCCTTTGCAGACCTGTACTGAGGGGCGGGGCCGGCTGGCCAGGAGCGGGGCCTGTCCCACCCACTCGCAGGAGCTGGGACATCCCACTGGGAACTGAGACGTGCTCACAGCACCTGGGCTCCAAGAATGGGAGAGGCTGAGTCTCTCGGAGGCAGCAGGCCCGTGGAGAAGAGAGGCTTGAGGCCTTGGATGGGGACCCTGGCCCTTGTCCCATACCCACTTCCTAACTTCTTGCTTGAGGGAGAGGCCCCATGGACTCAGTCAAGAGTCCCCGATGACCAGGGAAGTCTGAGGCCCAGAGGATGAGGGCCCCAGCGGTAAGGGACTTCCTGCAGTCCCTTAGCCATTGCCTTGTACAAACCACATGGTTTGCAGCTTTTCTATGACGGGGGTGGGGGTGGGGGAATAAAGCACATGGTTTTCAGAGCAGCGGTGTCTCCTGTGCGTGGTGGTGTGGGAACACGTGGACCTTGCCCTTTGCCTTCTGGAGTTCTCTCTGCCTCCCTAGGACGGCCTGAGCCAAGCAGCTGCAGCCCTGGTACAGGGGAGCCTGAGGCAGGAGTGTCCCAGATGGGAGGAGATAGGCCTGTCACCACAGAGGCCCTTGTCACAGTAACTTGCAATGGGCCCTCTGAGGACTGCCAGAGCAGTGGCAGGCCTCTGTCAGCTGCCAATTAGGGCTACCTACCCCCGGGGCCCATGGGGCACTGGGTGTGGTTCTGCAGGTGGGGAGGGATGCTACCCCAGCCTTCTGAACCTCGGACCCCCAACTCTGACCATGGCACTTGGTCACCTGACAAGACCACCTTAGGGCTGCTGGGATTGCCGGTGCCTGGTTGAAGCAGTTCTAGGGGGAAAGTGGGAGAAGCTATAAAAGAAACTACTTCCGACGCACACATTTCACACCAGAAATGGTTCTGAGATTACCAGAAGCCAGGGTGACGCTGGAAAGGTCTCCGAGGGAGTGTTTGTTGGGGCTTAGAGTGTGGGTGTGACTGCGCTGTGTTTGGATTTTGTCACCCGAGGGAAGTGCGGCCTGCCTATGGAGGTCTCGCTCTGTCAGCCTGCGTCTGCCAGGAGCCCCTGCCTGCCCTTCTGAATCGCTCTGTGGGCGTCTTTGCTGTCTCTTCCAGGAGATGGCTCTCAGTCTGTTCCCACTGGCCAGTGGAGCTGCAGCCAGACCCTGGGAGGAGACAGGGATGGATGCCTGCCATGGGCGGGGCTGGATTCCAGCCAGACACGCCCTGGCTTCTCCCTTCCCGCCTCTCCTGTGGGCTCTGAAACCTTGCATAGGCAGAGCCAGGAGCTGAGGCCACCTCCTGCCTCCCTCCTCAGGTCCATGTTCACCCGGGAGCCCAAGCAGGGGTGCGCCTCCTCTCTGGCTCCAGCTGCAATTGGAACAGAGGGGCAGGGAGGAGACTGTGGTTCAGGCTTGAGGGGCTCAGGACTCAGGGAAGGCAGGAAGGCAGATGCCAAGGGGCTCAGAAAGACAGAGGCTGGCCCACACCTGGTCAGGGCCACATGAGAGGAGGCAGGGAGGGCCCCAGCTGACCATGACCCCGAGACAGCTGCCCCTGGGCTGTGGGGCTTAGAGTGGGACTGAATTCATGATGCAGCAAGAGGGTCTCTGGTCATGGATGCATTTGGTGAAGCCTGAGGCAGAGTGTCACATGTCATCTGCTCAGCAAGGGGACACCTGGAGGCCCAGCTGGGATAGCCTGCAGGCAGCTTTACCCCATGCTGCTGCTTAGAGACAATCAGGATTGCCCTGGGCCACCCTTACCCCACTGTGTGTGTGTGTGTGTGTGTGTGTGTGTGTGTGTGTGTTGGGGGCAGGATAAGACATCCTCATTGGGTCACCTCTCAGAGACACCCAAGCCTGGATGGATGGACACACAACACATTTATCAAGGGGGCTTTCTTTTCCTGCCTGGTAATGACAGCAGGCACAGGATCCAGACAAAGACCATAATTACCACTTATTGGCCTCTAGCATGACCTCTTACTGGAGGCCAGAGGCCCAACCCTGAGGCTCCACCTGGAATTCACTGAAGTGTAGCTGGATCCAGTTCCAGAGCCAACCCCATCCCAAGCTTCATAGGGATTAGGGAAGGTGGACTCAACTCCAACACAGGGACACGTGTGTGTGTGTGTGTGTGTGTGTGTGTGTGTGTGTGTCTTACATGGTGCCTGGTCCTGTGCTGTGGGAGTAGGTGGGTGTGAGCACAGGAGTCAGGGGGGCGGGCGGTATTTGTGTCTGGAGGAAGGGGTGCATGCACATGTATAAGCCTGCATGTGACTGGGGATGGGACTGTGGACAGTCTGTGTCCCTCTTTGAGACCATCTGCTCGACCTTCCTGACCCTGACCCGTTTGCTCACCACTTCTTGGGTATAGTCTGGAGGGCACCATTTGACCATGTCCCCAAGAAGGGGCCACAGGCAGCTCCCAGAGGTCAAGTAGGCCCATTGATTTGGGAGAATAACTGTCAACTCCCAGTTGGGGCTTCTCTGGAACAGCCCCCAGTGAAATTCCCACTGGGCCTTTGGCTTTGGCTGGCTGAAACCTCCCGGATGTGAGCCTTGCTCTTTGAGAGGTGAAGAAAACAGACATCCCCAGCCGAGGGTCCTTCCTGGGGCCAGAGAGCCCCGGGGCCTTGAGTCTCCTGGGGAGATAAGACTCAAGGCCCAGACTGTGGACAGGTATGAGTCAGGCAGCTCTGGCCTCTGAGACAGGCCTCCCTGCCCTCTCCATGTGGCTTCGTGGTCCCTACAGTCCTGTCCAAGGGGCCCAGGGCAGGGTCAGGCAGGCAGTGGACAGTCCCCCACTCTCAGGCAGGGCTGTTTGCCAGTTTGATCCTCAGGGGTGAGCTGCCTCACTGGGGGATGTGAACCTGGCCCTGAGGACTGAAGGCCACCTCCTGTCCCTGCCCTCATCTCCACCCTTTCCTCTCCAGGGAGCTGGGGGTGGTGTGGTCTGGGCTCAGATACTGCCCTCATCCCTGGGGACCCCATGCCTCCTGGGTGGGGATTAAGCAGTGCTCTGGATGATCCCCTGGGGAGCCCCATCCCCCAGGTGTGGGGCGAGGACATTGTGAGTCCTGGCTTCGGTACTGGAAGGGGCCAGCTCCTGCTCCTGGCCAGTGCTGCTCCCGGCTCCTCCCACTGCCCAGGGGGACCCTTTGCACAAGGGGCTCCGCTGTGAGGTGGAAGCAGAGGGAAGCCAGGGGGCTGGGCTGAGGTCACTTGGGAACAGATGGACCTGTCCCCCCCTGGCTCTTGGGCTGGCTTGAGGAAGTGAGGACTAGAGCAGGCGAAAAGTCTTAAAGATAGGTCAAGGGACAGAGGTCAGCAGTGAGTCATTCCCAATCTTGGGCTTAGGTGGCCCTGCCACATTGTCTGGTGTACTGGCCTGAACCAGGAGCTCACGACTGTGCCAAGTGGGTATTATGCTGTGCCCTCACATGCATTGCCTAATTCACCTGTCCAGCGGCCCTGTCCAACCACGCGACACCGTCCTTTACAGATGTGGAGCTGTGGCACCAGAGGCTTGGCCAGAGCTGCACTGCAGCCTCAGGAATTGGAGCTGGGACTTCCCCAGCAGTCTGGCTGAGCTCTCCCCCACCCCCACCCCTGTAACATCTGCGTGGTCCCCACAGGCACAGTGACCATCCTTGACCACCAGGTGGGGCTAAGACTGTGCGGCTGAGCAGCTACCTTGCTATCCCTGGCTTGGCCACGAGGTGGCAGCAGTACTCCAATTGTGCACAGCTCCTGAGGATGGCGCATCCCCCAGGCCTGTAGGACCTAGCACTTCCAGCCTCCCTACCCTGGGATCGCTGTGCTCTGCCTCTCATTTTCTCTGGACTGACCCCAGAGGTTACTCTCCAATATGCCAGCTCCAGGTTCCCACCTGCCCTAATACCAAACTCCCCAACACCCCCAATGCCTCTCACCCATCACATGGGCCTAGGGTAGGGGCATCAATCACTTGCAAGGGCATGGGCTCCACTCTAAGGACAGGGATGTCAGGCTCTCTTGGACCTCGTGAGGCCACACACATGCAGACACACACAGGCACAGACACACACCAGCACATACACAGCAATTGCACACCAACACACACATTCACATCCTCACACGCATGCACGCAGACACAGATGCACATAGACACACATACAGACAGACACAAATGGACACAGAGGCACACGCCACCTCTTACGGGATTGAAATAAACAGGAAGGACCGGAAAGTTCCCATTCTTGTCAAGTGTACCCTCTGCACTGAGTTCTGTTCTCTCTCTGTCTCCTGGCCCCTATCAGAGCTTTCTCTTCTCCTCAACCCCCCCCCACAGGACCCCAATCCCTTTGCCTCTACTTCAAAGATATCACCCAGGTTGCACCTCCCCTCTCTGCATGTCTCAGGCTTTCCCTGCAATCACCCCATCTTACAAAACAAAAAGACCTCAGCCCCAAGTCCCCTTCCAGCACTCGGCCATTTCCATCCTCTCCTTCCCAGCAAAACACACCCTTCTCTGTCTCTCAGGTGTCCCACAGGCCACACACCTTTCCCTTCTCCGGCCTCGCCTCTTCCACCTCCCCATTTCAGCCCTTCACACCTGTATCAACCTTCCCTTCCTCCCTCTCACCCTGCCCAAGGGTGCCCTGAATCTCTGCTCCTTCTCCCTCTCCAGTGCTGTTGTTTTAACATGAGCCACCATCCTCTCCGGCCTCAGCTCCTGAAGCAATAAGAAATAGCTACGGTGTTGACCGGTGTACCAGCTACTATTGCTCTAAGTGTTTCATATATGCATTATCTTTTTGAATCCTGACGACACCTCTGTAGGATGGGTAGAGTACAATTACATTCTCCCCATTTTTGACAGATAAGGAAATTGAGACACAGAGAGGTTAAACAATTTGCTCTAGGGCGCACCGCTATTAAGATAAAGTTCCAGGATTCAAAGCCCAGATGTTTGCTGGGGTGTCCACATTCTTACTCATTAGCATGCTTTCTCTTCGGTGCTCCCATAGGGTAGAAGTTTTGGGGACAGTGGCTTATAAATTGGATGATCACTGGAGCAAGGAGAAAACAAGCTCTGCAGGAAAATAGGGTGATCTCCAGGCGCCATGGAGGGCCCACTCAAGGCTGTGCCCACTCACACGCAGCATGACCAGCATGGCCAGAGCTGGCCCTTCCAGGCATGTCTAAGAGAGGACAGAGAATGGTAGCCAGAGAGAAGTGGTCCTGAGGAGGAGGGGCCTGAGGGAGGGAAACCCACAGGCAGAGAGGAAGCCGGGAGTCTGGGGAAGGGTAAGGTGGGAGTGGGAAGCCTGTGACCAAGGAGTTGGTGCCATTTCTGGGACGACAGGGCAGACTGGCTGCAGGTGTCGGGGGTGGCCAGGATGAGGAGAGGGAAAGGTCACCG